GGTTGTTAACGTAACTGATGATATTCAGAGAGTTAAACGACTTGGCACAAGCTGATTGGTTCATGCTGCATATGCAGCCAATGAGCTTACTGCCTTGCATTTATATGGCTGGCTAGCATTCAGTTGAGATTCCTGCAGCACGCTTTCAGAGTTTCTCTGAAACCCTCCACCTTCCCCAGCTCCACCTGTATAGATCTGCTACGGGGTTATTTTATATGCTATTTGTGTAGCAGCAGCATGTCTTAAATACTCACGGCACCGTATCGCCATATGCATTGGCAGCAGCAAGTTCCTGTACTTGCTTGCAGCAGCAGCAATAATCTACAACTACAACAATAACCAACAGCAGCAGCAATTCAGCAGCAGGGTAGCAGATCTGTTCGGTCAAGACCAAATACATTAACATTATCATATCCATCACCATGCTAAAATCTTCCGAGAGTTGTCATGATTGAAATTATATTATATTTATTTAAATGGTAACTATCAATTGACTATATTTAGAGTACATTTTCAAATTGTTATTAATTATAATACTTATTAAAAATTAGTGGTCAATACTTGCCTTCTCTGTCAATTTTTCTACATTTCTCGCAGATGCAGAAGATCCCAACTACAGCTACAATTAACAGAGGTCCAGCAGCAGCAGAGAGCAGCACTATGTAAAACAAGGGTAGGCCCTTATCTGTAAAGGAAAAAATTAGTATTTTAGTTAGTGTGACTGAATCTGATCTACAACAAACAATGTCAAATATCAGCATTATATAACATGATAGTTAGATCAGATCAGAACATCAGATTAGTTAATCCACGTTAATATCAACACCAGCATACCTGAACATGGCTGACAGAGTTTGCTGATGTTGAGATGTCCGGTCTGGTTGCTGATGGGATTGTTGAGCACACAGCTGTAGCTGTTTTTATCCTGATATTCCACCTCCAGAGGTAGAGAGAGACTGATGCTGAGATCAGACACACTGATGCTGGACAATAAACTGTTTCCTTTGTACCAGGAGAGAGTCACATGACTCACATTCACCACTGAACACACCAATGAACAATACGATGATGATGATGATGCTGATGAACAATCTCTGATCATTTTAGGAGTGGGCAGATGAGCTAGAAACCATGAGAGAATAAACAGAAATACGGGTAAATCTAAACAACAATGCTATTTTTGGGTTAATGAGTTAAGCAGTGATAAGCAGTGATTGTACACTCTAAAAAATCCTGGGTTATTTTTTTAACCCAAATGCTGGGTTGAGCATTTTTTGGGGGTTATTTTTTCAGTGTTTGGGTAGTATTTGTGTCACCCAGCTCCTAGGTCAAATGTAACAGCCCAGTGTTTGGGTTGTTTTGCAGCTCCAGGGTCAGTCATAACCCAATGTTTGGGTAGTTTCTGTGTTACTCAGATCCTGGGTCAGAAGTAACCCAGCGGTTGAGTTATCGCGGGGATTTTGTCAGGTCATATGTCAGTAAAAACTAATTTTCCTGTTCTGTCAGACGTTATTCTGTGCTTATAGCGAGTGTTCTTTAATTGCACGCACAAATATTGCAGCGCGCACTGTAGCCTATATCATTTCATATTAAAGCACGAATGAAACTACAAGCATGCGTGTTAGATCAGTGTCACATTCAGTAGCGGCAGCTCTTAAAGTAATAGCAGCCAAACAATTAGTCAGCAGAGGAGAAGCAATTAGTCAGCAGAGAAGGCGGCAGCACATGAGTGTTTGCTTAATACTTCATGTCTCTGTCTGTTGACTACAATTTTACTTGCTGTTAAGCAATTATTATTTTGTTTACTTTTATTTCTACTTGTCTTTAGTTTTGATTTGAGCCATTGCCCTGCTAAAGACTTTTGGGTGTGCTAATTGTGAAGGCGGGCAAAGCTGTTTTCACTCAAGCTTGTTTAGCTGTGTTTTTGTTTTTTTTTGTTATCTGTGAGGTGATGCGGAAGACCTGCAACTTTAACTGCACGACTTTAACCGAGCAACACTACTGGCAATGCACTTAAGTATACTTTTTTGAAGTCGTGATTACGAGCTTGTTGTATTCAAGTGCTTTTATGTCGGAAAGAATAAAATGTAGCATCCCATTGGTCGACAATCATATAAACATTCACCACGCTATACATACAGTTTGCTGACAATTCTGGAATTTCGAATCAAGTCAATCGAGTCAAATACATGCTTATTTCACTGCTTATAAAACACACAATATGCTTCGAATGATCGTTCACATCTAAATACACTACTTTAGTGACAAGACAAAGGGATGTAGTTGTTGTGAGAACAGCATTGACAGCAGCAATGGTTGTCCCCTCCACAATGTTTAAAGATTATGACCCGCCCAACTCGGAAACTCTGGTATCAAAATTCTTTCTGAATTTCCCAGTAGTAAATACGTGATGTGATGTGACGTGACATGTGGCCAAGTATGGTGACCCATACTAGGAATTAGTGGTCTGCATTTAACCCATCCAAAGTGCACACACACACAGCAGTGAACACACACCCGGAGCAGTGGGCGGCCATTTATGCTGCGGCACCCAGGGAGCAGTCGGGGTTCGGTGCCTTGCTCAAGGGCACCTCAGTCGTGGTATTGAAGGTGGGAGAGAGTGCTGTACATTCCACCCTGCTGGGCCAAGACTCAAACTCACAACCTTTGTGTTACAAGTCTGACTCGCTAACCATTAGGCCACGACTTGAGATTAGGAAACTTGACTAGGAAACTCGTATTTACGATAACTCCAACAGCACGTGAAGGCAGCAATAGTGCTAGAGTTTAGCTCCAACCATAATCAAGCACACCTGATCCAGCTAATCAAGGTCTTCAGGATTACTAGAAACTTCCAAGCAGGTATGAGTTGGAGCTTGTTGGAGCTAAACAGAGCTGTGGCCCTCCTGAAATTTGAAAGAGTTTGACACCACTGTATTGCGACTGGTATTTTTTTTTTTTTTTATCAGTGCAAAGAAATGCAAGTACTGGCAGTGCATCAGATGGAGAGATTTAAAAGTTCATCAAAAGATGGCTGCTGCTCACTTTGGACAGAGATGGGGGAAGAAAAGAGTGGGCCTGAATGCAAACAAATTCTTCCAAAGGTATATTCCAAATGCTAATCAGTCTAAGATTGTCTGAATAACCATACGTGTCATTGTCTCTTCCCCTTTATGTCAATCTGTCCCTCTTTTAGGGTACACTTATCCTGGATTTTTTTTTTTGCAAAAAAATTCTAAAATCACTCATATTTTCATTGTGTCATTTTTATACTTGGGGGGGGGGGGGGCATCATTTTACAAGTCTGACTCGCTAACCATTAGGCCACGACTTGAGATTAGGAAACTTGACTAGGAAACTCGTATTTACGATAACTCCAACAGCACGTGAAGGCAGCAATAGTGCTAGAGTTTAGCTCCAACCATAATCAAGCACACCTGATCCAGCTAATCAAGGTCTTCAGGATTACTAGAAACTTCCAAGCAGGTATGAGTTGGAGCTTGTTGGAGCTAAACAGAGCTGTGGCCCTCCTGAAATTTGAAAGAGTTTGACACCACTGTATTGCGACTGGTATTTTTTTTTTTTTTTATCAGTGCAAAGAAATGCAAGTACTGGCAGTGCATCAGATGGAGAGATTTAAAAGTTCATCAAAAGATGGCTGCTGCTCACTTTGGACAGAGATGGGGGAAGAAAAGAGTGGGCCTGAATGCAAACAAATTCTTCCAAAGGTATATTCCAAATGCTAATCAGTCTAAGATTGTCTGAATAACCATACGTGTCATTGTCTCTTCCCCTTTATGTCAATCTGTCCCTCTTTTAGGGTACACTTATCCTGGATTTTTTTTTTTGCAAAAAAATTCTAAAATCACTCATATTTTCATTGTGTCATTTTTATACTTGGGGGGGGGGGGGGGCAACAATG